AAGAAAAGAAAAGAAGAAAAAAGAAAATGCACTGTAGTGGAAAGTTGGTGAAATTTTTACATTGGTCAATTTATCAGTGATTTGCATATTTATGTAGTCATTCTTGACAGTCTGAATTGCAAAACCAGCTCTGAGGTCATATGCAGAGATTTCTTTTGCTGAGCTCAGCTGAAGTCCTCTGCGGATCCAAAACTTTCCCAGCCATCACACAGTGATGCAAAAAAGTACTGCTGGAGTCTGTAGTGAAGGAATGATTTAGCCAAATTTATCACCTGGTGGGTTGATGCAGTCTCTTCAATTATACTTCAGTTTTGGCAAGAGCAGATGGGCCATGAGTTTCCATGGTGACTTTCAACACAGCAAACACTCTAAAGCATGTGAAAGATGGAGGTCATTGGGAATTCTACCAGGGCAACAGCTCTTCTGCAACAGTAATGCCTGCTCTTCAAGTCTACAGGCTATAGTCACTGATGCCCAGATGCTCTGTGCTTGATTTTAGCCAGTGCTGATTTATTCCTTCCTCTCTTCTATTGAAGACAGAATGCAGCCAGATGTCAAAATTTATCTTTTGTATGTTAAACAATATGTGGAACAGGAATGACCTTCTGAAGTAAAGAAGTACTTAGACAGGGAAATGGGGAAAACTTGCATTTGAAGCACTGGCTGATACTTCGGAGGTCGGGATTGAGTTAGCTGCCTTCACTCCTGGAGCCTGAGCATCCTTAGATGAGCCCTTTATTCGGTGTGCAAATGTGAAAGACCATTCCTTTGCAACACTGTCTGCTCCAGCATTACAGACAGATTGTCTTCACAGAAGTGTGGTAAGGCATACAGAGGGAGGGATGGTCAGTATCCTCTACCTGGGTTTTTGTCATTGTTATGACACCTAATGCTGAGCAGAGAGAGCCTGATGAGATCATATGCAAAGATTACTTCAGAATATTATTAGAAATATTCCATCATGTAAATGATAGATGGGGAAAGAACATTAATGGCAGAAGAGAACAAGTGTTGCCAGCAGTGTTCCTAGGGACCACAAGGGACTATTTAAGAGGAGGTGGGGACCTGAACAAAGTGAGGCATTTCCACACAAGACTGTTCTCTGCAGCCTGATCACTTCATATCAGCAGCGATTGAAACAAAAATTGAGGGTGTTTCTTTTTCACAGTAGCAGCCAGTGGCAAAAGGTAGGTGTAATCTAGAATTATGAGACATCACATTCCCTTAAAAAACAGGAAAACTCTCATTTTAATCAATTAAATCAATTTACATGAACTGATTTTTTCCCATGTTGTTTTCTTCTGTTTCACTTCATATTGTTTTACTCTCTGCCTAGTTTTATGAAAGCTTTACTCAGTCTGTCAGTTGTTACTTTTGCTAGCTAGCTTCCAAACCAAAATGAACATTTAAAAAGTATCATGGAGGGACAAAAAATGGTGTAGTGAATAAATAACAAGACAAAAACACATGGAAATATGTCAAGAGAAGTATGTCCCTAAAAAACTGGAAGAATCTCACACCTTGAGAGAGTTAGATTATAACTCATGAAGTATTTCAGCTGAAAATTTGTGTAGTCTAGCCAGTTTCTGCAGAGAGGTATAAAGTTGTCAGTAAAAAGCAGTTAAGATAATTGGAAAGTAACCAAGACCATGCAAGATGTGTTTCAGAGCCCCCAGACCCCTCTCAGCTGTTCAGAAGTACAGATTAGATGTCTGAGTTATCAAAAGGAGTATTGGGTTAGGGTTTTGGAAGAACTGTTCTCCAGCTGATGTGGTCTGGGAACAGGAATCAGGAAGGATGCTGTTGCAGGGCTTTTGTTATGAAGAAAGCTGCATTAAAATCACTGTGGGGAGGTGTGGAAGGGTATGTGGATAATTTGAAAAACTCAGCAGTGACTCACGGACTTGAAGAAAGAAGATGCCAGGCATGTCCATTAACATTTGGACATATTTGCAAACTCTGTACCTGCTAGTTCAAGTTCAAGTGCAGATTTATGTTGATTTTATATCACACTGATTTTACCAAGTGCCCCAGAAGTGCAGGACCAGAACTCACCATGAGTTCTGGTCCTGCAGAGCTACTTGTGAGCAGGGCTAAATGAAGCAAGGCCTGGATCTAACTGAAATGCCTTGTGGAGCATTGTGAAAATCCTTAGCTGACAAATGTGCTGTGCACATGTGGCTGAGATATAAATACTGTCACACATCTTTAAAAAAGGCAGAGAGAACATGTACTCAAGGACACAATGACATAGAGCAGAATAATGAGCTGGCAGGTTGGAGTCTGCCAGCAAAAAAGAAGCTTCAGTACTTGGCTGCATGATTATCTGTGGATATTTGCACATAGACTTCCTTCACAGGATATATGCCACTGCTCTGCCGATGGTGGAATACTGAACAGCATAGGTGCCAAATAGAAAACTTAATGTATAATCAAGCTTCATACTGGGATTTTCCTCTGTGCCTTTGTTTTAGAGATATTAAAGGAGGAGCAACCAGAAAGGTCCAGATTACAAAAACAGCATGCTGCTGATTATCCTAAAAAGCCCCTACATATCTGGGAAAATGATAGTTAATAGACTACATCTGGTCCAAGTCCAGCTGGCAGTGTGTTTGCCATTTCTGCAGCAAAGACCCGTGTTTTCATTGAGATGCTAGAGTTGGGGCTGCTCTTCC